CATTCTGGTAGGCTAGAATATAAAATATACCAATGTGAAGTAGATTATTCTGGTAGACTAGAATATAACATATACCAATGTGAAATAGATCATTCTGGTAGGCTAGAATATAAAATATACCAATGTGAAATAGATCATTCTGGTAGGCTAGAATATAAAATATACCAATGCGAAGTAGATCATTCTGGTAGGCTAGAATATAAAATATACCAATGTGAAATAGATCATTCTGGTAGGCTAGAATATAAAATATACCAATGTGAAGTAGATCATTCTGGTAGGCTAGAATATAAAATATACCAATGTGAAATAGATCATTCTAGCAGACTGTAATATAAAATATACCAATGCGAAGTAGATCGTTCTGGTAGGCTAGAATATAAAATATACCAATGTGAAGTAGATCATTCTGGTAGGCTAGAATATAAAATATACCAATGTGAAGTAGATCATTCTGGTAGGCTAGAATATAAAATATACCAATGTGAAGTAGATCATTCTAGCAGACTGTAATATAAAATATACCAATGCGAAGTGGATCGTTCTGGTAGGCTAGAATATAAAATATACCAATGTGAAGTAGATCATTCTGGTCGGCTGGAATATAAAATAGACCACCCTGGTAGGCGAGAATATAGAATAGATCACTTTGGTAGGCTAGAATATAAAATAGATCATTCTGAAAGGATATCTAGGTTTGAATACAATCTGGATCATTGTGTTAGAATATAAAATAGACCATTCTTGTAGGCTAGAATATAAAATAGACCATTCTGGTAGGATAGAATATAAAATAGACCATTCTGGTAGGATATAATATAAAATAGACCATTCTTGTAGGATATAATATAAAATAGACCATTCTGGTAGGATAGAATATAAAATAGACCATTCTGGTAGGATAGAATATAAAATAGACCATTCTTGTAGGATAGAATATAAAATAGACCATTCTTGTAGGATAGAATATAAAATAGACCATTCTTGTAGGATAGAATATAAAATAGACCATTCAGGTAGGATAGATATATAATAGACTAATCTGGTAGGTTAGGATATTAAA